ATAATCTTAGCTGCATATGTTTCAATGCTCACACTTCGTCTAACCATCACAAATCCAACAAGTGTTATTATACCACAAGCAATAGCAATCAAAAATTATTTGCCATAAACCTTTAATTTCCATAAACATTCCCTCTTATCTCTTATTCATTAAGACAAACATCCCTTCAAACCACACATCATAAGACTAAACAACTGTTAAAAGTAAAAAAAAAACTGTTAGAAAGTCTGTCTTTACTGTCAATTATTTTTTAAATCAGTTTTATGGATTCTTGCTGAATAAAAGTATCTTACTGAGCCAAAACGTTTGAACAGTAGTGCACATCGGCCTGAACATTAATTTTTTGTTCTGTATCAAGGGTGTGTAAAATAAAAAAAAAATGCCTAATTTAAAAATGTTCAACTAGCATTCCATGCATTACTTACAATAATCTCTTCCTCTTGGTATTCTACAGTGGGTGGTTTACCGTCTTTGTTGGGTTTTTCAACCATTGGATTCCGTACAACCTTGAGAGAGGAAGTCAAAGGTGCTAATACATACTTTAGCAGCACTGTGTCAGGCAAGTTTGATTTTATTCTGTCTTCTTTTGGTTAACATTTGGATTTAAACTAAATCTCTACAAAACATCACTGATGCATAGACGTACCATGACCATCCAGTAGTTCTCCTCCGGCTCATGGAAAAACTGTCGGTTCTTCTGAGTGTGGAGAGATTTGGCTGGTTTTGTTGGACAGAAGGTTCTGTAAAAAAGAAAATCTCTGATTTATGCCTGTGTCTCTATGTTTTTTTTTAATCTCACCTTTGATCCCATCATTAGTACAGTGCTAACCTGGTGAACTGAACGATGGCCTCACAGAGTCCAACATTGCGAATCTTTTCGTTCTTCTCTATTTCAATAGGGTGGTAAAACAAGATTTTCTTTTCCTCCTACAAAGTACAATAACAGCCCTATAAACATACAATTAACATATAATAATCAAAACGTGACTTCTACCTGCATTTGTTCATCTTTCAGATTATTACCATGCCCAGACAGATTCTGCAGACATTTTGTACATTTGCTGTGGAGATTTTGATGATTTTTTTTTTTTGTGTAGTGGCTTTATACATGGAAAAATGCATTACATGTAGCTGAGAGCACTACATTTTTACACCTTCTGTGGCCTCACAATATGCAAAACAATTAGACTAGTTAAATAAACAGGATTTACCTCCCCCTCACGTGGTCCAAACTTAGGGTTATAGATGAAAAAACTTAGCAAAGATGGTGTGTACTGTTTCTCTTGCATTCCAGATGCCATTCTTGGGCTTTTGAGAAGATGATATAAGGTGGGAATAGAAAGCAGAAAATGAACACATCACGTCTGATTTAAAAAATAATTCATATTTAGACCTCAAAGACGGCGTCATTGATGAAAATACCTGATCATCAGCATTAGTGTGGTCTGTCTCTACGGTTCCCTCTTTTTTCATTGAGTTTGACGTGCATGCCTTTGATCTGTAAACAGAATAAACTTTATTGGGACTGAAGTCAAAGGACACAGTGAAAACATTTTCAAGAATAAACATGAATAGACAACTTTAGATAATGACGATAATCACTTAACTAATTATAGATTATATGCACAAGCTACAATGTAAAGTATGTTCACGGCATTCCTTTATGTAATATTTGTAGACATGCACAAGTTAGCTATTCATTACCTGCACATTTGAGCTTATGGACTATAGTTAAATTTAATATAATTGTTTAAATTATGTAATTTAATTGTTTAGTTTAAGATTATGAGAAAAGCGAATAAACTGTGGCTAAACTGCCTTCTTTTCTACTTTTGAGAAAAACTGCTGATAAAAAGTAGTTAGATGCTTCTTAGACTAGTGAACAAGACAAACAGATACTGAGGCAAATAAACAAAAAAGGAACCAAAAGCATTTCACTTTCCATGAAGACAGTGACGGTGATCAGACAAATTAGACCATTACTTAAAAGCTAGCTGGTTAGCTACACCATTAATCCGACTGTTTCATGTCGCGTTTCAAAAGCAACAACTATCATAAAGGGTGTTCAACAAACTGGTGCTTACCTGTTACAGCATGACAACGGAAACAAAGTGCTTGATTTGTTATCTCATGGGGGAAAACAGAGCTGAGATCAATGAAAAAGATGCACCTCCTGCTCTTGACAGTCGCTTGTGTGTGTTACAATCGGATCCGATCGGGTAGATTTCATCCACAGTTCCGTTTCACTATTAGTCCTGTAACTCAGTAATTCCCCCATCAAAACGTTTTACGTATAAAGAAATGAATAGTACAGTGAAAATTGTAAAACTACGTAGGCTTACATGAGATGAAGATTATATTATGTCATAGTCCTGTCATAGGATTGTACCTATTTTGAGAGTCTTGTGACACTTGTTAACTGTTGTTTCCCAGTTCTCACAAAAATGTATTCAAATGATTTTCAGACCATGCCAGTCAAATTATCAAGCAGGCATTTTGTTTTCAAAACCAATTGCCGGTAAAGTAAACTGCAGAATGATTACACAGTTTAGGTTACATTTCACGTCCATTGATGATTATTATATTTTTGCTAACAATTTTCTTCAGAAACATCATAAGGAAAAGCAAACTGTAGGCTCACATAAATAATCTGTGCACCATTTCAGTTTTCTTTAAGTTGCCTTTAAACCCGTTTTTACTGTGTGCCTGTAGTGGGTCTCAAGTTCAAAATATTGATAATAATAACAACAATAATAATTAATAATAATAATTCATATTAAATTCAGGGGTGAATTTAGGTACATTTGGATACTTGTTGCCACGGAGATAACTGGGGGAAAATGTCCCAATTAAAATGAATTCATCCGATTTTTTTAAGTGTAATTTTCTGGAAATTAAGAAAATACTAATACTTTTCAAATATTTTTCTCACGTCCGCAAACATTCTGACAACTAGACTATGTCACTTACCGAACAACCAAAAATGGTTTATCACATCGCCATGTGATCAGCATCATATGATGTTATTTTCATGTGGTGGACATTTTGAACACATTTTTGTAAGTATCCTCTTTATTTTTCAATATTTTGTCTACAATAACCTATTGTCAAGACGTATATTAACTGACTGTCAATTTGTCAGCTTGATTGTCAACTCTGTCAACTAAGTTACCCTCAGCCGATTCTTGGAAACCATATTGATTGTGTCCACTGATGATAATGAATTGTTTGTAAATTGCCATAGATTGGTTATCATAATTCATACTGTAATTGAACCTTCTATGTGCCAGCTGAGACTGAGTGTGTGTGTGTGCATGAGCTATCAATATGTGTAATAGTTAACAATATGTCCAGTCAACTGTTACTTTCTTACTTTTTTTTCTTTTTTAAACTCAAAAGCTGTTTCTCATATCCTTTCAGGGTATATTTTATATGCACACAGGTTGGAAGTTTGCATAACATCTCTTAAAATTGCCAAATTTATGTTTAAGGCAGATTTATATATATAAAAATATATATATATATTTCCTGTTCTATAGTAACTGTGCTGAGAATATCACATGGATATCTGCTGTAACCGTGGCAGTGGGTGCGGATATTGGCTTGTAAATGGAAAGTTGCAAGTGAAACAATACTAACATTTGAACATGTTACCTCTGGCTGAATAATATGGAGGATAATCTTCGTAGCATAATTGCAGTGTAAACTCCCCCATTAGTTGTTTGTTAAATCTAACATATTGGGTCATGCATGCACACTGGGATTATCTTGGTGGAGTTGATGCCATTAAGGCACATGTTTGCCTGGCTCATTTTGGTCTCTGGTTTCACTGCAGAAAAGGGATAATCTGAAGCCAGGATTGATGCACCATTTTGAATTCCATTGTTCTAATGGGCTAAACGGTAACCTGAGCGGGATATCCTTGCCATTCAGTATTGAGAGTGTTCAGTATCTTCATTGAAATGTATACCCAATCTCAATGTCTGTACCTTTTGTGCCTACTTAGTCTGCTTTACATTTGAACTCCCTTGTTTTAAGGCTTTGGTTACATCTAGGATTTCAAGGTTTATATTCTGCGGTGAGCTATTTTGTATTTATTGATTAGAATGACGAATGAATAAAATGCACTGCTTGCAAATATAAACAAAGGACCAAATGAAATAACTTGACTAAAATCTATGTATATTAGATGCTATGACATCTTCATCCATGCTGCTAGAACCACACATTTGTGAAATATTACAATGAATATCAAATGTAAAATTTTGATTTCTTTGAAGGTGCATTCATTTGTTTTTATTATTATTGCACTTAAAAAGGTTTGCTGAGAACATCAGGTGCATCTGACATATTGGTCACCGTAACAATCTAAAGTAAGTCAAGTAAAGTTACCTTCTTTTGGTATTTAAACTACTGAGGACATTAGAACATTCTGCATTTACTTGTAACTTCAATCATTCACAGCACATATCTCTATCCACTGCAGACATATTCTATTACATGCAGTGTGTAAAATAGCAATGTTGAAATGTGTTTAACTTGCTTTCTATGAGATCAAGATTGGCTTTACTTTACTGTTTTTTACCCATTTTGTGGTAGTTATAAGTTTTGTCAGGGTCATGGAATGTTACAGTCCACTTTCAGAGGTTTTTCAGATGTACTGCATATGAAGTAAAAGTACATTTTCTTTGTTTTGTGCTTATGTGTAGTGTGCAAATTAATAAATTGTAGCTCAAAGCTAAACATAAGACAGTAGAAATAGTATCAGTAGAAATAGTTTCCAGTTTATGCACACATAAGTCACATGCTGGTGGTTGTCTTGTAAAGAAAAGCTGCAACTTGTATGCAAATATCACAGAATCCACTGTATCAACATACCTGTATGTATATCTTAAATTATATGTGCATTAATATAAGCAGATTTAAAACACAGTAAACCAGATGCATCGGTTTAGTGACTTTTATTTTCCCTGAACAGTTTTGTCATTGGTCATTTGGGGTGAATGTGGGACAACAAAACAAGACACAAGTATTCAAAAGTCAAGTACATTTACTTTATGTGCTGATTCTTCTTTTTTTGAAAAGAAATCAGGTGTAAAAAGTCAAATGAAAGATGGGGTTTCAGTGCTTACAGCTGAGGGAGTCTTTCAGGATAACACCATAGTCTGGAACTCTGTAGAGAAAGAGGAACATCAGAAATTTAGACTATGATATTATAATAAACTGATTTAACAAGATTAGTCCAAAACAAAACTTTTCTGTATAGCTCTCACATGTGTTTCAACATGTGCTAAAGAGGTGATTGATCAGTTTAAACAAAAATTCAATGAATAAGGCAAAAATAAGGAGACAATTTTACTCTGAGCTCTTTTTCTCAGTAATTTGCCTGCAGCTTTTCGACTTTGTATTGTCTCAGACAGTGTGTGCATGACTGTTACTCAGGATTGAAATAATAATTTGAGGTGACCCTGATCTTTGATCCTCTTATGCAATGCAGAGATAGATTTTTTTTCACTAAAGTTTCCATAATCTAAGACAGCTATTAAATCTTAGCACATCTTTGAGTAATGATCAGAGAAAATGACATAACAGACAAGCAAAGGACATAAAATGGCAAAAACAATTCTCACCATTTAAAGGGACATAAATCTGAAATCTTATTACTGTAACTGTGCATACAAAATGGTAGAACATGTAGATGCATAAAACACAATAAATAAGAAAAGAATAAAAAAACAACAACACAATCTACTGAGAAAACATTACCGTCTACTCCAATTCGGCCATCGCTATCATCATCTGCAGCTGTAAGGAGGCTCTTAATCTCCTTTTCTGTCAGGGTTCGCGCCCCTGGGAAAAATCGCTGGAGAAAGAACCTGATTCACACAAATCCATTGATGAGAAGAATGAAGTGCTGCACAGCCGTTGTCACTGAACTGTGACTCTCCTAATTCAAGCAGCTCAGCATTTTAGCCCATTTGTCATTTTAGATATTTTTCTACGCATCCGTTTGTTTCAGCCACATACAGCTGAACTCATCAATCAAATGATCAAATATGATCTCTTTCACCTGTCCCGGCTATAATGTGAGCTAAAAATGAAACCCTTCAAAAGACTGTTGTGAATGTCATCTCTCCAGCTCTGGGTTCTAGTTCTGCTGATGTCATTACATAATGCAGATAAATCACATAAAGCAGGGACAGAAAAAAACAAACATAATGACAGCATCTCCATGGATTACATTTGAAAAGGACTTAGTTTAAATGGAACTCTGGTATTATCAGGTAAGACATGGACATTTAATGTAAAGCTTTAACAGAAGTAATTCTCTTTATGCACCGGATTTCATGTATGTCTATTACGAGCATAGTATTTTTAGCATTAGATGTTCTCCGATCACACTGAACAACAAGGCAACATATTGAAGCTGTAAAAGCTCTAGGAACTGTGCCTCGAGTAACATGAAATCACAACAACATAGTCTATGGTTTTGTATCTGTAGATTTTGTGGCTTTTAGAGCGTTAGCAATCATTGAAATCACATCACATCATTGTTTGTGATGTATTACACATGAATTTAAAGTAATACCAGCCAAATTGACATACTTGAGCTCAGCCTCCTCAATAAATCCACTGTTATCCTCATCTATGATGCAGAAGACATCCTTCACCTCTTGGGGACTTTTCTGGCTCAGGCCACAAAGTTGGAAGAACTTTTTATAACAGAAGGAGTCTGGAGCTGTTGGAGAAAAAGCAACATGAGAATTATTGTCATCATTGTCTCAACACGAGACAATTAAAATGTGTTTATCATTATTGTTATTATTTATCATTATTACATTATTTAGTAGATACCTTGGCAGTCTTTGACAGCATTTTCAATAGCATCAGCTGAGAGGATGGATGTAAGTGACATTTTCACAACTGTCGGAGAAAAAGCATTATTTTTTTCCCTTTATATTGTGTTATATATTTATTTTGTTAATCTTTATTAATTTATTGCTAAAATTATTCTAATTGTGTATTTGTACACATTTGTGTGTATATATATATATATATATATAGAGATGAAATAGAAATGAAATAGATTCAAATAATTTAATTCAAATTAATTAAATTCACATAAATTAGAGCAACATCAAAATTAAAGAGACATTAAATGTGCAGATAATTTGTAACATTTCCAAATCATCTTCACGCATTTTTACACTACAATATCCTATTCTCATCTATATTCTGTCACTCTCCTATTGCTGAAATAAAAGACTTCGAACTTTAAACGAATTTAGGAAAAATCCAAAACACATGTACAGATAGCCGGGACCATGGTGATAAAGTATAACAGTTTCTATGTGATATTTGATGGTAAGCAGAAAGCAGCTTCTGACCTGTGAAGATTTCTCCTCGCGCTGATGCAGAGAGGTAAGGCTGTGTGATTGCGCCTCTCATCCACGGACAACTTATATATATATGTACATGCTAATGGGACGGACAATGAGAGGTGCTTGGGTTACCTGTGCGTGTATCAAATTCGTGTTGCAAGGCTCGACTTTAATTTCTTGCCTAACTAATTATCCTTTACTATTTAAATGAGCCTCGGACCGAATGCACACACAGACAGGTACCTGCACTTCGCCCTTAATATTGTGCGTACTTGATTGGAAAAAAACGCTCCGTGTGTGTGTGTGTGTGTGTGTGTGAGAGAGAGAGAGAGTGTGAGTTCGTGTTGCAAGGCTCGACTTTAATTTCTTGCCTAACTAATTATCCTTTACTATTTAAATGAGCCTCGGACCGAATGCACACACAGACAGGTACCTGCACTTCGCCCTTAATATTGTGCGTACTTGATTGGAAAAAAACGCTCCGTGTGTGTGTGTGTGTGTGTGTGTGTGTGTGTGTGTGTGTGAGAGAGAGAGAGAGTGTGAGTGTGTCCCAAGGGTGCTGTTGTGTAGATATATATATATATATATATACGTATGCTAGTTTAACTAGAAAAATAAATATTCATGTATGCTAGTGTTTTAGGCTTATATTGGACCTAATATATAGGTACATAAAGACATAAATATATGTGTAAACAATGATTTTAGCAATTAAGTGTTTACAACTTTTGTTGTGCATTGGACATTTTTGTAATCGCTTGTGCTAGTCTCATTGGACATTAAATAAATGACATTTAAATTCATTTATGTATGCTAATGTTTTGTATTTTTAATTGGATCTATTTTTATATATACATATATATATATATATATACACATGCAATTTATTTATACTTAAAGACGTTTTTTTTTCTGTGATAGAACATTTAACATCTTAAAATTAGTTTGATGCATAAAATCATGTTATAAAGATGAAAAAGTTTTCACATGTGTTGGTTATGCATTACTTATAAACTGTTTGACCTCTTTTGTGTGAATCACCTTTGTTCTGTTTCACAAGATTTAGTTAGCATCATCACGTATTTTGTGCCCCATACCAGTTAATTAATAACAATACTGTATTTGATGCTGATGTACAAGTTTTGCTCTTTCACAATAATACATGCTTACTCAGATTCTTACTGTATGCTTGATTTAATGCCAAGGTTCATTTTGCAACTTACATATAGCTTTACATTTAATGAGATTCACTTTGTCTTAGCTTTAAATAAGTAGTCAGGAGTCCAATCCACTTTAGGCAGACACTGAGACTAATCATCTACTCATGTAACTTGACACTTTTCTCTTACTTTGTCACTAATCTGACTGATATCTGACAGAGTAATGATTGAGCTTACAGACAAAGAATTTTCTGCATCGTTTGCTGTTCAGAAAAATCAGTCAGAATTCAAAGTAAATCGTATATGCATAGCAAAGATAATCAACATTTTACTGAATGTTGTTGTGTGAGAATTAAATGGTTAAAATGATTACTTAAATATCCCTATAAAAACATCTGTGTCAAAATCCACCACACATTTTTCATATTGTAATGCCATGTATCAAATAAAGAAGTGAATTAAAGGTTTTTATTTTTTTATTTATTTTATTTTATTTTATTTTTTGGATAATTAAGCAGACATATTGTAATCTACCGTAAATTGATGAAGAAATGGCATTACCGAGTGCCTTTGGCCTGTCATGGAAAGGGGAATACAAGACATTGGAGCCACCTAGCCAACAAACCAATACACTCTAATGTCACTGAACTGACTGGTAGTGTTACGGTATAGTGATCTATCCATTTACATTCTCTAGTTTGTTGGTACAGTACAGCCAACATGTCTTCTGCTGTCGTTTGTTGAGTCCACAATTGACATTAATGAAAAATGTAAAATGAAACAAATTACAAAAAAAAAATAAAAATAAAAAATAAACAGCACAATTTTAGGATAAGAGTACTTTGCCGTTTGAATCAGTAAAGTGTGCAAAAATAAATAAATGTAAAAACAAAATTGTATATAGTTGAGAGGCTGCTGGCATGTTTAAATCATATAAATTGTGGCACCACACACCACCTAGTGGCGGTTACATTGTACTTCAAGATACATAATGACAGCTCATTTTGGTTCACGCTGTACTTTCTAATATGCAACAAACAAACAAACATTAATTTAACATAATATGTTAAATGTAACATACAGAACTTATTGTAACAGGTCATCTGTATTTTGTGCTTGCTTTAGTTGGACTTTCACTGTTTCTAGATCAGTTTCCTTTGTCTGTAGTCATGGTTACTCATGGTTTAATTAGTGTTTGCACTTGATGTTTTTTTAGTTTATTGTTTTGTTTCAGTGTATTTAAGCTCTGTGTTTTCTTCTGTTCATTGTCAGTTCTTGTTGTGTTATTTTGGTTGTTTAGTTCCTGAGTTCTTTTGTTAAATAAACACATATTACTGGCTCTGATAAAAAAAAAAAAAAGCAGAGAATTTTTTCACAAAAAAACATCTATTGTGAAGAGTAACACTAGATGTCAATGTACAGTTTTCACTGAAAATTGTAAGATGACTTGTTCTTTTTCACTTCCAAAAGCTGAACATTTAACAGTATTTTATTAAATGTCCCATTAGATCTATATTTTTTTTAAATGCTAAGCTAAAATGGCAGTGAATTGTCATTTTTACTCAGTAAGAGGACAGAGATTCAAAAATGAAAAATAGTGTTTATTTTCTCATTGTCCTTTCCCAAAAACAGCATCAAAGATTTTACAGAAACCAACATGCATATCTACAACGTGAAAGACCGTGTGACGTTGACAGTCATTGTGGACCGGGTGCAGCATGGGAGTGGACAGTTAGAATTGTGTATAAAAATCAGCCACCCCGATAAAAAAGTGGAGATCTCAGGTTACAATACTGATTGTCAGCAAAAGTTGTTGGTCAGGTGCCATTTATGCCTTGATCATGGCAGCAAACTCTGTAAAATGAAAGAGAAAGAATTCATCAGAAGAATTGTGGTGGAGCAGCAGGAAAAATATTTCAGTAATTATTTACAGTTGATTCATTCAACAAGAAGCAAATTCCTCACCATCAACTCCAATCTTGCCATCACCATCAGAGTCTCCAACTTTCAGGAAGGCCTTTGTCTCTGCATCAGTCAGTGCCCTGGCGCCAGCAGAGAAGTTCTGCAGGAACAGTCTGAAAAGCACAAGCAGGCAGTCACCTTTAAGTATTTTGTTCAAGGTAGTTAAAAAAATGTAAAAGTAGTAAAAAATAGTTTATTTAATAGGAAAATGTGTTTTAAGACCAGACTTACTTAAGCTCGTCCTCCTCAATGAAGCCACTCTTGTCCTGGTCAATGACAGCAAAGGCCTTCTTGATGACATCAGGAGTCTTGGCAGACAGACCAACCTTGGCGAAGAAGCTCTTGTAGTTGAAGGAGTCAGCAGCTGGAAGGTAATTTCATCATTTTTTAGCATAAATGGTGGAGATAAACGGCAGAAGGACTACAAGAAGAACATTTGCTTTAAGGGACTCCGTACTCTAACGAATGATGTTTACACTGATGTTGACACCCTAAAATGAAAATTCTGTCATCATTTACTCACCCTCATCAAATCCACACGACTTTCTTTCCTCCGTGGAGCACAGAAGGAGATGTTAGGCAGAATGACAGTCTCAGTCACCATTCACTTTCATTGCATCTTAGTCCATACATGAAAGTGAATACTGACTGAGGTTGTCAGTCCCTATAGCATTCTGCCTTTTGTGTTCCACGGAAAGAAGAAAGTCATGCGGGTTTGGAACAATATGAAATTGATGTTCTCGCTTTAGGTTGTAGGTCAATGGGACGGTCCAGAAACATGCAGGTTACCTTGGCAGGCCTGCAGGGCTGCAGTGATGTCAGCATCATTCAGAATTCCAGCGAATGCCATGATTAGCCTAAAAAAACGGCAGAGGTTTAATTTGATTTCAATTTGTATATATTAATTTGAATGTATATAAAATTATACATATACATATATTTCAATTTAATAAAAAAAAAAACTTCATAATACTCCATCCATATAACAGATCATCAGAATTGATTTGCTCCCATAGGATTGGTAAATGGTCAACAGTAGTCATATTAATTGCATATGTCTTTAACAACACAGTGTGTTATGATAACTCCCACCCAGTCCTGGCGTAATCAAACCGCTTAATAAAGAGCGATATCCCAACACGTCCAAACTCCAAGACACAAGTTATTCCCACGCCAGGTGGCCGAGACTTAATAGATCAACACATCCTCTCCAGATCAGCCAGAAGTCATATGGCCGTTACTGTCTGTCGTTTTTCTTTCTTCCTTGCAAGATATTGTGAGCTCTTGTAGCTTCATCTGTGAAGACACTCACCTCTGGTTGTCTTTAGGGTTTGGGGTTGGATTCGCAGGGATGAAACTGGCTACTGCAGTGAGCACCAACTCCGTGACTTCCACCTTATATACCACTACTC